AAGATCAGATCAGATGGCCAGAATAACAGGAATAAGCAACAAGGAACTCTGGCCTGCCAACGAAGCAACCAAGAACCTATCGCTCAACAAATATGCACTGGAAGGAAGTGGAGATGGATTGGGCATACACTGAAAAGGCCGACTGGGGACATGATGCTCCAGGCCAGACACTCGAGTGGAACCCCGATGGGAAGCGACGAGTAGGGCGTCTGAGGTGAGGGTGACATGGAGGAGATTGTGTGAGGAAGAAATGAGAGGTTGTGGGCTGTCGTGGAGCCAGATTTAAAAGATTTCAGAGAACAGAGTGCATTGGAGACGTGCTAGTGAAGCCCTATATTCCACTGGGAACCCAAGGGGCAAATAATAATATTATAATAATAATAGGTGTCGATAGCATTCATTTGGTTACAAGTACACCCTGTTTAATTAAACAAGGATTTGTAAACACTAGCACATCTTTGGAATATGGTTTTTATCACTAATAGGTGTTGAACAAAAAACATATTGAACATATTAGAAGTGGAGAAATGTGAACTATTGTATTCCATACCAGTAACTGGGTAATATTGTGCTTGTCACCACGTTGAGCTCTATGTGTACACTGCTGATGACTCCTTTACTGAGATGAAACAATTGTCCACTGCTCATAGGTTTTCAATGGTTCTCCAAATGATGTCAAATCATGATTGTAACTACCCTTCAATTAGTCGATCAGTCAATCTCCACAAATTACCAATTGAAATAAGAGAACTTTGTTAAGCTATTTCTTCTACCCGTTTACGATTTTTCTTTATGATTTTTATTGTTTAACAGTACGTCAGATTGAAATCAAATACTTCTGACATCAAATTTAATACAATGACTTCCAGCTAACAGGTTTGAATCTACTCATTTATCATTATAAACACTAGACAATTCATGGTAGTATGTAATCATTATTTAACACCACAGGTCATCTGTCTTCACGTAAATCCTCAGTTTATTCAATATCATTCTTGGATTTTTGTTAAAGTTAAGTATATGTATACTTCAGATGCATACGCACACAGAGACGAAATAAATCTGAGAAATATATTTCGCATTCTAGTTCGGTTTCTTTTTTCTCAGTTGTTTGTCCTTTTTATCCAAGTTTATATTTAAAATAACCTAGTTTACTTATGAACTGATAAATTTTGCGTTTTCCCTTCATATTTTCATACTGTGTGCAGATAAAATCGAAGGATATTCTAACTGTAGTGTATGGTTAGTAATCACTCTTGTTATTATTACTGCCATTGTTATCATAATTATTAGTGTTAGTAGTGGTAATGATAATTGTACTAATAATGACACTGGCTGTGTTGGTATGATAATATTGATGACTAAATGAAACTTCTGTATACTTCACCTGTGATAGTAGCGATAATGTTTCACCTGTACGAAACTAGATCTCAGATCAAATAAGTTAGAGATTAATTATTTTTTTTGTAGTGACCTAATGACAGTTTCTATCAGGAAGTGATAATATTGAACGAAACTCTGGGAGCAGAATTGTATGTGTTAGTTAATTCGAGGCATTAAGCGGGATGCTCTGATCGACATAGGCCATAAGGTTTTCAGACTATCCAAAATAACCGTAGTTTGGTAGACTACTATTGATACTTGGTGATAATTAAAGGTGAAATGAAAGTTTGGACCACTACCCAAGTCAAACCAGCGACCGCTGGGTTTCTGGTTCGATACTCTATCAACTGAGCTGCGAGGTCCGACCACTCACCAGATTTTTATTTCACTTCAATCACAAGCGGGGGTTTGCCCGACTACCATGTAAATTTGTGACGCGTTACTGCCGCCTGACTGTATTGAAACTGGCTGTCCCAATCAGGATTTCTCATCCCAGTCGAAATCTACCTGAATCATAGAGGAGAGGCATCATATTGATCATCGTTTCGACCATCTGAGACAGCCGTAGCTTAGTAGACTAGTATTGATACTAGGTAATAATTGAAGGTGAAATGAAAATTTGGACCGCAGCCGGAAATAAAAATCTAGTCCAAATCTTCATTTCACCTTCAGTCATCATGCAGTATTTTCAAAAATCGTCTGCAAGGCATATTTGAAACATTGAGGGAGCTGGTGTCCTCGTGTGTGGTATAAGCTCAATGCAGTCAGAGACGTTACCACTGAGCCATATGTAACATGACAGAAACTTCTGTAGGATTGGATTCCACACACTGAGGATGAGTTTACTAAGCTGGTAAATTTATCATAACAATAACGAAGAGTTGGAATCAAAATCAAAGATTATTATTTAGATAAAATGCGTAGATTGTAACTTGCTCATGAATACACCTATTAGGTCTATTCAATGTTGACACTAGGGATTAAATTAATGAAGTATGCTTGAATCGCCAACTAGGATGAAACATGTATCCTACACCCTTCAGTCTTAACACATTTCACCTGATATGCTTAATGGTATATTTACGTTGAAACATAAACACGACGATCATCAATTCATATAGTGAACTTTGAAAACAAATGTTGTTTAGAAACGAATATCTTTTAGGGAATCCTAAAGAAGTAATGCAGCTCAGTAGTATAATAAACTACTGGTGACAGTATCTTCAATATCTGCGGTTTGGTAGACTTGTGTTATTGATAATGGGGGATAATTGGAGGTGAATTGAGAACCTGAGTGGTGGCAGGACTTAAACAGTGGCCTGTGGATTACCCGGTCTGATAATCTACCATATGAACTATAAGATCTAACTGATGTTCAAGTCTTTATTTGAGCAGATAGATCTTGTAGTACACGTGATAGAGCAACGGGCCGGTAATCAGTAGGCAAATTTATCAAAGGGACTACTTGTTTCAAACAACATGAATTACATTACTGTTACCTTCAGTTGACATATGGGCTGTGTGTACATGTCTCCATATCACGTTTTAATCATGTCAATCGCAGTAAAATGAAACCTTATTGACAACTGGAACCCTTAACTACTGCATATCTGTCACAGATTGCTAGTCTAGTGCGTATGGCTCAAGAGTTTAAAAGTGAGTTCGAACACAAAATATACTAATAGGTGTTTCTTTGACTCATAGAGATACGGAATGTGAGTCTTGTTAAAGGGATGGAAATGTGTTCTGTTCAGAATTGTTAAATTAGTATGAAAAGGTTCTCTATAGTGTTCAATTGTGCTTACATCATTCCGCCTCTTGTTGCCTGCTGTCTAAACATACACCTCGATTTCATATATTACATTTTAGCCGAATGAAAGTACCATTCAAACAGCCAACAAATTACACAAAAGATATCAGTTCCCGCTTGTGTTCCGGAGTGAGGATGGAAAAATAAGGGCTTCAGTAAGATTATACTGGTTTTTCAGCTGATAACATCGGAAAATATCGAAATGCGCTCAGTAACCACATGTATATCCGTGCACTACACGATGGCCCACACTTATTTTATAGTCGTGCTAGCTGTCTGTTAAAACTTTGGTAGGCACAGTTCGAACCCGCAACTGGCGATACGAAAACTGAGTCAGGGCTCCACAAACTGATGGAAAGCGAATTATAATGACCTAACAAATGCGAATAAACAGTTGACTGAAAATAATTTGGGCTGTGGATGCAGATTCTGACTAAAATACACATAGATACTTAGTGTCAGTTTGTAAACAGCCCTGAACTTGATTCTCAGAATTACTAGTCTTTATTTGCTAAGGTTTTAGGAGACTAGTGTTCCCTGTATGGTTCAGAAACCCTAAATTCCTTTCAAAGTGTTGAGGCTGCAATCAACCTCTTTTAGGATGGAACTGTGTTTACGCACATTTATCCCAACATAAATACGTCTTTATGATGATAAAGCGGTATATAGTTGTAACTTTTTACAATACTATTGTTGTGTTTTGCACAAAATAGTTGTCAGATGACCAGCTGTGGATGTTCTTCGACGACATTAGACAATGGTTCCACCGAATCATGAAAGGATTAGTGGACCATTGGAGTAGAACCTAGTGGCTAGGTGGTAACGCACTAACTGTGGGACAACAATCCTGAGCTCAAATCCCTTTCTCAGGTTGTGGATTTGTAACTGTGATGACTCCCAAACTGGGACAGACCAGCTAACCAGAACTTCTAGGTTTTAACCTGTCCCCGAAAGGATGTCATTTCATGATGTAAACTGCCTTGAAAACTCCTGTTACTTTAAGTGTTGGGAGACAGCTTCTCAGAAATCTGAGAAATGAGACGAGATTTATATTCATGTCTTGTTACCTACCATCGTGAACAATTCGAGACCCGAACCCATTAAAATACAAATAGAATTTAATAACGACAACCACAAAGGAATAAGATAGATTTCTTTGTTCAAAATTATTTTAAATTATATACCTCTATATAACCACTAAGTCAAGGCTTTTCAGTAGACAAGCAAAAATTTATTAAGATAAATTTTCAATTGATGCAACTAAGACCACACCTTTTTTATTGATCTCTTTACATTGACCCCTATTTGACCCCTTGTGTTGACCAATAAGAATGGAGTTTTGTTATAAAATAGAAGATAGAAGAGTGACATAAAGAAGAAGCATAGAGAAATAATCAGCTAACCTCATATCTAAAATATGAGTTTTGTGTGAACCAATCAGAGACATGGTTACACAATATAAGCTAGGTCATGACCTAATTCCAGCCATTCATAATCAGTCTAACGTTTCATCATGACGTTAAACATGTTCTAAATTGAAGCATACACCATAATACATTATCGCCAGCTGACAATTCGCGCTGTTGAAACGAAAGACAGTTATCACATTCAATCAGCTGATTTAAAATTTGTACAAAAATATTGCCAGTATGAATCACCTATGTTGCTTCATTCTTACTGTAAGTGAATGCGCTGGCTAACATCCAGTGGATACAGAGAGAAAGAGAGACTGGAACGAAATTAGATTTTTAAAAAGAAGAAGGGGAGAGGAGTGATTCGTGCATGAAACACTATGGAATTTGATCAAATGATCAGTAAAAATGAGATGGATATACCAATTACTTCAGATCTATCAAACAATTGGTCATTAATCAGTACAAATGCATCTCAATTGTCTGTACAACAACAGACTATCGATATACAACAATCGTTTATCGGAAATTATAGCAATCCTCCAGTCACTGAACTTGTCACTTTGATACCAACGGCATCATTGACATCAGCATCGACAACATCAACTCCGGGTAGAAGAATGAATGATCCTCAAGCATACTGGAATGGAATAAATCAACCTGTAAATGGGATTACTGTGCATTCAGAAGCCATAACAGGCTATTATCCAAATCCAATTGGTTCATCTATATTATGCCCTATAATAAACCCTCAGTTGGTTCAGCATCCAACAACCATCCCCAATTGTTCTGTATCACATACAAATATAAGCAATCCAGTAAATCCAACATCTTTAGGTGTTGTATCAAGTACTACGGGGAATGGAGCTACCAAGATTCCTCGTCAACGTAAAAGTAAGTTAGCTGAAATTGATTTATTCGTATAGCTGTTAGAGTTTAGTCAATCATTAGAACGACTTGCTCAAACAATGAGCTAGCGAAATCATTGACTTTTTTCATGTAATGAAACCCTAGTTTTTGTTAATGATGGATCGTGGCTAGCATTGAAATCCATCATTAACATAATTAGAACTCTGGCAACATCGAGGCATCCGCACAGGAGTCCATATGATAACAGAGATCGGTCAATTCGGTCCAATCATCTACAGTATGATATAAAAACAATTATACTAACCCTAGTCTTTCTTCTAACTTCCCTTTGTCTAATTAATTGATAGTTGGCTAAATTTTTAAGGAAATTAGTCTGGAATCTATATGTAAACAGTAAAATATGTAAAAATGTCATATAACCATGTTCACTTCTGTAAGTTACATGTCTTGTGTACGCTGTGAGTATACTATCCAGCATAAAATCGAATTCGGTGTAATTTGAACTTACATGGAAATTATGCAGTTAAAGGGAGTTTATCGTGTAAACCATAAAGCAACGTCTATATGAAACATGAAATGGAACTTGGTGCTCTCTATTTCATAGAAATATATTACATAAATTAAAAAGAGAATTAGGTAGTATCAAATAGAATATCTTATTAACAGTTCACACAGAAGGCCTAGCTAGTGATAGACTTTATTTCTAGGTAGCCTGAAGACTGTCTTTACATTAGGTCTAAGGGACAAAATTCTGTGAGAGTATGTGCATTCCGTTGGGTCTATCAATTATGCCTAAGCAGAAAATTGTGTTTTCTCTGAGAAATTCAAATCTTGACAGATCTCATAAGCAATTCGTTTAAACTGCTAGACTTTAGTAAGTTTGATAGCGAAGGATAATACACAAACTTGAAGTTGTTTGACTCTATTACTTTTCCTACTCATATTTTATTTATAACTATGGATTTGGCAAAAACAAACGCAACAGTAGGAGATAAAATCGACCTAGAACCTCGTACACAAGTGCAGCGGTTCAAGTCGCCTCACATCTCAGTAGTATACACAGAATAGGTGGATAGAAAAAGAGTAATAGAGAAGTAAACGAAATTGTGTGACAGAATAAACAATTTGAAGATTAAGGTCACTGTTGCTGGTAGTTATTTTAATACCGAGAAGTAAGAAGGCATTCTGAATACATTTGACCTTCCCGAAAAATATTCGACATATATGTTGACTGCTTCAGTTAATTGGCTACTGAAAATTGTGCTTTAAAATGGTATAGCCTAGTCATGATCCTTAAGTAATCTAGTAGAATTTATTGATTAATTTTGATCAAACTAATCGAACCAACATAGTGGAAAGCTGAACACTTTTTTTATAGGTACAACTAACGCTTAACACTGATATTCTCACTCTGTACTAATGAACACTAATACAAATTTATGTCATACTAAAGTTGTTTCTCTAACAGTATCCAAACCCAAGAGAACATACATGCATATCGATTTGATTTTGTACCGTCAGGAAAATGCTCTCAGATGGTCGTCAAGATTGACCCCAGTCAAACTTATGGGCATTACAATGTAATATGATAGTGAATCTAGTCGGGTGGATCGTTGAGGACTTTTTTGCCCACTAAAAATTGGGAAGCATAAGAGTTCAATATTAGATATCTACTGAACTGTGACCCATAGATCATGGGAGTTTTGCCACTGTCGTACTTCTCTGGATAAAGTAAAAAGGTTAGTTGGAAACAGAAGTTGTAGCGTGATGCAAAAGTCTTTAGAAGTGTGTTGGTTGGTTGAAGGTGATCAGTAGATCGCTAATACATGGATCATATTTTAATGTCTTTGCATCAATTCAGAGGTCGGCCTGGGTTGTATAGGTTCTATGAGTGGAATCCTCATTATTATGCAGTTTTGGAAGATTATGATTCAGTTTATCACTAATCAAATAACAATAATTTAGATGGCGTAGTTGTAAGTTATTCCATTCTCAAATAATTACAAGCTGAAGGCAACTGAGGGTTAATAAACGATCAGTGAATTGAAATTATCGGACTTATAACACTCACGAAGTGTTGTTATCGTCGAAAAAGCCAATTTTGTTCTGCAACTTATTGTCGAAAAATCGTATTAATAATATGACCAGTCTCCAGTCGATTAAGAGGGTCTGTATATTCTAGATAGTTTCAAGGTAGTGCAACAGAAGGTACATAATTTGTAAACACTCGTGACTGGACCATTATAACTAGGAAATTCAAGTTTTTTTCCACTAACTAACACGTTGACTAGAATAGAGTTTACACTGAAAATTCAGTGTAGATCTTGTGGTTAACTCAGAGAATATTCATAAATCATCTTGAGACTGAACATTTTACAGACACATGAGAAAGAAAAAACTAGTTATCCTTCATAATCCTCAACAAATTAGTAAAAAGATCTGAAAAAGGAAAGACGCATCATATAAGTTTACTGGCTGCCTAACGACAACACTTCAGTTTATACTGTTTTACCTATTTTTGACAATGGTATACTAGGAAAACAATATTTACCGGACAGCATATTGATTCCACAACTTGATCTTAGAAGCTCAATTAGGATAAACTGAAATGGTATGAATTTCAGTGTATTGAAGTTGAGCTTTTTGTCAAACTATGCCGAATGACAGTACCACTAATTTCTAGTCTGTAAACTGTAACTGACTTACTCTTGTGTTATCCTCCTAAGAGAATATCGTTTTGTTAAGAATTTCAGACAGGGTGAAGCTATGCACATATAAATGAGTGTGATAAAAAGCTGAGTGCATTTCATCAATCCAGGCAAGTTAAAAGTTTAGTACTGAATAACCTAAGTAGTTACAAACCACTCACGTCGCCAACCAGGCTAGAGTGATTCAGACACCGGGCTGCTGTTTATGTCTCAGCCGGCTGATCAGCAGCGTACCCGGACACATTCAGCCCACAGAACCAAGCTGTTTAGATCACTCATATCTGACTTAGTGACTTGGATGAAATGAGATCACATACTAAGGTCTTGGTAGGATGGTTTCCAATGGATGCAGGCGTCTTAACTATGCCACTGCGCAAAGCCATCACAACTGCACAAAAAAATAGTACGGAAATCCTTCTGTTTCACCTGAATGCGCTTTAAATAACTTTTGAGCTCTACTTTCATTCGCGTCTAATTATTTCCAACTTTTGATAAACAGAGGTAACTTTGGATTCAGTATGATATGACGACTTTTTATTTCCTGTTATTGACTGGTTTGGACTGAAATGATGCGTCTTTGCTGGCATACCGACTGCTTTTCGGATGTATCAATGAAGCTGGCAAATTCATGTTGATATTAAACATGTTCAGTTGAGTAGTCTTAAATGGGACGAAATGTACATCCTGAATTCCACGGGTAGCAACTTTTCATTCCAATTATATCAAAATGAATTTACTAGCTACATTGAGGTATTTGCAAAGGCATCCGAATGTCAACAGACGATATTCCCTTCTCTTCAAATTAAACAACGACGGGTAATAGAGAGTGATCACATTAGATTGTATTTGTTGCACTAGGAGTGATGATCCTAACCCAGTAGCCTGGTAGATGATGCTGCAATGCTTGAAGCGATGGTCAGTGGGTTCAAGTCTTCGTGGGAACACCGTTACTGAATTGAAAGCCAGTACATCTAGCTGAAGAGTCCCAAAATAAGACGAAGGGAGAGTCCTGAATTCCACTACCAGTCACTATTCATCCTTAGTATCATTTCCATCAACCATTTTAACAAAATCCCCATTGGACCATATAACAAAACAAAAAATACAGAGAAAGTTTACGATTTTCTTTCATAACATTTTCAAACTGTTTGGTTGTAGATAAATTTGACATTCAGCAGCAAAAATGGAATGTTTTGTCAAGTGATTGTAGCAAAATTCAGTTTTGTTTGCAGATTAATGAATCCGAAAACTTATTTGAACCAAAACGTTTTCCAGTTTCTTAATTGAATGATGTAATACGGTGATGAGAAAGCATAATTCCAAGGTTAGGAGTACGCGGCACAATATATTGGTAATTGTGTAAAAAGATTTCGAAGGTAAAGTGTCCTTATAAACCACATCCATCAAAAGTCAATTGACTTGACAAAATTCATTGGGACCAAGAGCATAGATCTCAAAGTATGAATTATTATGGCTTTGATAGCTTGAAGAAGTTTTCAGGCGTACTTGTCCCACTTGGTCTACACGAATTCCATAGATGACATTAAAGTTGTTTTTTGTATCCACCAGGTGCTCAGAATCAGTCAGATTTTCTTAAAGTTTCTATGAGTTTCAGCCCTTCCTCCTTTGTGAAACAAGGTTAGTAATATGGTAGAGGAAAGCGAATGTAAAGTCAAAATAACTTACCTTACAGAAGCAAGTGAATTAATAAGTTCATCGAGGTTTTCTAGGTAAGCAGCTCATCCTTCATGCTCCTTTTGAAGCACTGGATGAGTGGAGAAAGTCAGCTGGAGTTAAGTAGCATGTACTTGTATCAGCGTTCCTGTTATTTTTTTTCTAGACTGTGACATGTAGTTGGAGAGAAATAACACTTTAGGTAGGGATAGGTGTCTTTGTTCCATTAAATTACAGTTCCAGTTTATTATTTCCGGCGATTATATACCTTGCAGACAGATAACATTTTAAAAGCAACGCTGACGATGGATTTAAATATATGGTCTACTTGTTTGAAGTTGAACGCCTTAAGCAGTAAACCGCAGTTGCATATAATGCATCGCAACTTCACCCCTGAATAACTTGGCGAAATTTCCATCTAATGGCACAACTAATAAACAGCTGATAGGATCTTTATATTTTGTTAGTAAACTGAAAATATCAAATGTACTACACTTTGTGAAATGTCTACGTCACATACAACTTCCGTTTACACATAAATAAAAATCTCAACATGGAGTTGAACTATTAAAGTTTCTGTAAGCTGAAGTGAACACCAATTCTGTGAATCGCATAGGTATTCTAAAAACCAATAAATCCAAT